GACCAAATAGGGTCGCGAAAAAAAAAAAAAAAAAAAAAAAAAAATCCTTCTTTTTTAACTCAGAGGTCCCAAAAGAGAAAAAACGGTTAATACTGGAAAAGGTATCCTATACTCCTTTTTTTACCTCGGATTATAGAATATTGTAAAAGGGCTGTTATTTGCGGCTGCATGAGCAGCTGCAGCAAGAATCCCGATATGCATGCTGTCGCTTGATATCACGGACGATGAAAGAGGGGGCTGCTGCCTATTTGCTCGCCGTATACCCAAAAGAAACTGTGATTTTTCGTCTCTGCATTTAAATGAAAATATAATTTAAATTAGGGTGATAAGGATAAATTATGAGAGTTGCTCGGGATCATTTTCAGCACCTTATGAAAAGGACAGAGTCGCCGGCTATGAGTCTCTTGGAGCTCACGAATACGCTCCAACCGGTGGTCAACAGGTGTCGTTTCGGTTGACCTGAATTTTTTTGACAATTATGAATTGGAACAACGACATCAATTGAAGTAAGCTAGTTATAAACAATCAGTTTTCCTGTTTTAAATCCGCTCGATTATTGGTTATAATTAAGTTTGCATGACTTGAGCTTTACTTCTCTTATGTAAAGAATTTTTCTGAACCTCATTTCAGTACCCAAATTATCATTCAAATGTAACCTTAAACTGAAGAAAACTGGTTTTGTTATTACTTATTCCTTTTATACCTTTTCCAGTGTTCGAAAATGTTTAAGAAATGCAATTCAAATATTTACCTCTATATATATGTCTAAATGTCCATGTTTGATCATGCAAGTCTCTAGCTGATAGCTCCTGAGCAGGAGGTTGCATCGAAAAATCCTAAATAAAGAAAACAAATAATAATAATAATTATAATTATATCCAAACGAATCCATACGTTTATCACAAAGTCAACTTATGAAAAAAAAAACCTAAGCAGTACAAAATATTAAGGAGCAATTTTAAAATTACCAGTGGCGGAAAAATCTTCTCAGCCGCCCTGCGAGGGACTGAAAAGCCACCGTGAGTGCTTGTGTCACTTGCAGTCAAAGTCTTGCAGAAAAACTCGTTCGGTTGTCTATTTTGCTTCAGCCCAAGATCAGACACAAGCAAAGCTTCCTGGTCATACTGAAAGGACAAACAGTATTAAAATGAATTTTGCCAAAAAGGAAAAAATTAAAAAATGCACAAATGGAAAATCAGGTGACAGACCTTGCTCACTGGTTGAAGTGTCATCTGAGCATACACCTCATCCGTCTCACCATCAGCCTACCGATAAATTAAAGATAAAAATGTATAAAGCCAGACAAACATTAATAAAAAGATTTTTTACTACAGCTAATTTAATTATGACTAACAAGTCATTTCAAAATTTTGTATGAATGGTCTGGTATTTGGAGTACATGTAATGTGACACTGTGGAGCATGCAGATCAACTTGGAAGGAAGATTAGGGTAATTTGGTATGCTATCGGCCTCTTTCTGCATCGATGCTGCTACCTGTGTAGTTAAAAAATAATAAATGAAAAAAAAAAAGATCTTTTAGACATGTTTCATTTGAAACTGAAAATATAATTTGCTGGGTTTTAGCATCCTGAGAAAAATGGCATACTTGTTCACTATGTCCTTGAGGAAAATAGACGACAAGACTTCCAACAGGCGGCATACTAACCAAAGGGCCCGCACAAGCATGCCATAACTCAGAATTGATCATCTTCTTTTCTCCTGTGCAAAATAGACGATTTACAGTATTAAAACAACATCATAATTATTGATAAGAATAATTTTACTTTTCCATCAAGATTTACGAATCATTTGATATTTCGAATTTCTTGGTGATATCTTTCTTCTTCATTCTTAAATAATTTTTGTGGCAATTTGCACTATGGCAATCTCATTCAATTGTAGAGAGTTGGACAGTGATGGAGTTAAAAAAATGTAAATAAAAAAGAAAGAAATAATCTCAGGGGAAGTCATTACAGTGCAAGGGATCAGATATAAACTGTTATGGAATCTAACTATTTCAATTTGCATGAAAGATCATACAATCCAGAAAAAATCTTTTGCTATAGCCAAATCGTATACATCTGATGCCTAAATAAGTAAATATACATGTGACTGGAATCGGGGACGAAGAAAGGCTCGGAATTAAGTTGCACAAGAATATAACCTTTTTGAGCCTTGGCAACCTCAATAAAAGGATTTATAGAAAATCAAACTGCCAACAGTTTCGGAATAAAAATCATAGAAAACTGGATTAAAAAGGTAACAATTCTTTTGATTACGAGTCTGGATCACGAAAAGCTCATGTTATACTAACTACTCTAATCTCAACCAAAAGATTATGTACCAAAAAAGTGCTAAGGTTAGAACTCAACACGAAAGCCTTCGCATCAAGAAAGTGCTAAGGTAAAAGAATTATTATAGCCTAGCTTCCCTTGGAAACAAAAGGAAGAAAAATATCAAGTAACTTCATCAAAGAAGAAGAAGAAGAAGAAGAAGAAGAAGATATAAATAAATTAAGTCATAGCTTGACATTGTGAAATGATGGTGGAAAACTGAAGATTAAAATAAATGAAATAAATAAGTAGGAAAGAAAGAAGGAGAAATGGAAACAGAGATTTGTAAACAGAAACTGTGATACAAACAGACCTTCTCCTGAATTTGCCAATAGTCCATTGGTAGGGATCTTCATTGCTGCAAAAACTCACCGATGCACTCTGCAATTTTTTCTTCCTTTTCTCCCAAAATATAGTCCCCAATATTAAATTCACCAATATTTATCCCAACCCAAGGAAAATGAAATCCTTCCTTTGAACAACTCAGTTAAGTTTCAAGTTAAAGCCTCCTTACTCGTCACATAAAGATTTAACTTTCAGACAACACCCAAAAAGCTTACCCCAAAATTACATCCAACAACTCAAGAAAAAAAAAAAAAAAAAAAAAGAAAGAAAAAAACCCTTCCTTTGAACAAATCAGTAAAGGATAAGTTAAAGCCTCTTAACTTGGTCACCAAAATATTTCACTTTCAGACAAAAACCCAAAAATCTGTAACCCCACTCTCCAAATGCATACACNATAAACTCAACCACCATTCTCCAGAACTTCACCTGAAAACCCAGTAAACCATTTCCCCTCAATCTCCAACATATTGCAAGGACCAACTATTGGTACATCTCTTTTCAACATTCAACAATTTTCAGGAAAAAAACATAAAGTCCACCACTGCTAAAAAAGCTTCAGGTCCGAAAACCACTCGTGCCTTCTCAAAATCCACCCTCGAATTAGAAAAGCAGACAAAAATTGAGCTGGCCCATCAAACTACTGAGGTGACCCGTACAGTACCACGCCCGAATAATTCTTGAAACTAAGAACAACCGTAACAAATAGGAAAAATTGCTAGAAATGGAAACTTTGCAGCTCACGTGGAAAGATAGAACGGTGGGGGAGGACGGCGGAGCACCGGCGGATGAGGGATTGCCGGAAAAGGAGAGAGAATCTTAGGACCCGCCGGAAAACCCGACGCGAATAATAGCCCTGCTACTTTTATAGCACGATTGCACTGTGCAAGAGTATATATGTTAAATTATAATAAACGTTAATTGTAATTATAAATTTTATCGTTCTCCAATTAGTCAAGGTTGATGCTGGATGTGCAAAAACGTATAAACTATACGTATCTGTGCGCGTGTGCACGCGCGTGTTGGTATAATAGTACAGAGAGAGCAGGCCGACATTAGAACAACTGTAGGGGATTAAAGAAGGACATTATTTACATTGCGTGTTTTGCTCTTTCATGACATTTTACCCTAAAAATATAGCAGAAATTTTTTCCTTTGTTTTTGGTTGCTATTGCTCGATTGCTGGTTTTTGTTACATCATGCGAAATCAATGCAAGTTCGATAATGCTAGGACGGGACGAAAGCTTGCATTAAGCAGTAGATTTTTTTTAATGAATGAATGTACTGCTAACAGCGTGTGGCTTATCTTATTTAAGTACGTACGAAATACGATATTCTATAACTTAGATGTGATGTATTGGTAAAATGACAGTTGATAAAGAAAAAATATTTTATTAAGCTACACGTGACTCGGTAGAACAAAAGTATGTGTGTTACAAGGACTGTTAGTGTCCAAGGTCAAGGTTAATGTTCAACTTGAAAAAAATTTCACCCATGACGGATTTGTATGGAGTCCAGGAGGGCCCGTGGGCCCCCTGATTATTTTAGATCAATATATATAAAAGGAAAAAACTAAAAAATAAGTATAGAAATGTAAAAAAAAATATAATATATTAATAATTAAAAATTTATTTATATTTTATTTTAATTTAAAGTAATAATATTATATTTTATTAATTCTTATATTTTACATTTCTAGATAAATTTTTAAAATATTTATAATGTTTTACTCTTTCGATCTCTTGATTGTAAATCGGTTTAGTGATTTATAAAACTCAGTATTTAGTTAGATTTTGACATTTTTGAATGTTGATTTTTTATTTTTTTTGTGTAATTACGTATTTTTAAATTATTTATTTTTTACTTAAAAAATGTTCATTTGATAAGCTCTCATCAACAAAAATGCTAAACAATGTGCCGCAAAGTTTCAATTTAAATCAAATTTTCAACCAAAAAACTTATTTTTTTCATAAGCTATAGATGTAATGAATACATGAATTTTTTTTTTTTGTTTATTTTCTTAAAGTTTGAGGGTGATATGGATTTTAAGTTTTTAAAAACTTGACGGTACACATATAGATATTTATATTTGTAGTATATTTTTATATGAAATGAGCGTTACGACTTAAACTACAAGCTCGTTATAACATTTAAAAATCGAGCCCCCTGAGTAAAATTCCTAGATCCGTCACTGCCCGAGATTACAAAATATGTAACTCTTATTTGAACTGAGTTGTCCTCTAACATAGTTCGTTTCGATTTGTAAAAGTTTGAGTTTGACTTGCTTGTATATTTAAACGAGTCAAACTCGAATACTTCATTGAGCTTGTCTATCAAACAAAGTCGAGCGTGTTCTCGAATAATTAAGCAAGAGTTTTGGGTTTTGGTCTAGGTTTTAAGGTTTGTTAAATGTCTTGAGCTGAGTTTATACAGTCAAACCAAGCTTAATTTTTTTTTTATTTATTAAACAAGTTGAACCACGTCAACTCATTTATTAAATGAGCATGAGTTCGAACTTGAATTACTCGATTCGAAAAATCTAGCTAGACACGTGTAAAAAAGTCAAAGTATGAAAATAATTTCTAAATTTAATATAAATTACATGAATCAGGTGGCGGGTCTTCTTGTCGCCAGTGGTGGTGTGGGCTTTCGGTTGTTCGGACTCCAGCCACTGTTGCACCTCATGTTTCCTTTGCCCTGTTTGCGGAGGATCGTTTTGGGGGGGAAGGGGGGAGGGGGGGTGAATCAGTGGACGGGGCATGGCTCGGTCGGCTCGCTGCGATTTCGTGGTGGTGGCCAGGTTTATGACGCCGTTCTGTCCTTTTCTCCCCTGCACTCTGGTGTTGGGTCGGGGGAGGCCGGTGCTTCTGCCTACTGGCTAGTGGTGTTATCCGGGGCAGGGCAGTGCTATGGCGGATGGATTTTTGGGTGTTCCGGTGGCTGGGAGGCGGGCTATGCTGACGGTGATAGTCGAGGGTTCTGGTTGTCAATGGCTTTGTGCTGCAGGTCGGAGAAGTGGTGCGGGTTCGGGGTTGACCTCCATTGACTGGTTCATGGGCGTCTACCTGGGAGAGTTTCGAGGCTGGAGTACCGGATCTTGTTAGGTGTTTTCGACAGTTTCAGGTCTCGGTGCTTAGCTCGGTCTGCTCTTCTATTGGGTGGGAGCTCTCAGTTTCGGTGGCGGGCTTGGTGTGGTGCTTTATCCTGTTGTGGAGGAGGGCTCTATTTAGGTATTTATGTTTGTTGCTTTGTGTTGTTAGGTTTCGTGTTTTCTTAGTTAGTTATCCTGTGTTGGTGTTTGTTTGTTTCGGATTGTGTTTTTGGTTTGGGTCGTTGGTCCCTGTGCGCCCGAGTGTCAACTTATTATCCTGTTGGGATCAGACACTCGAGAATTATCCTGTTGGGATCTTTTGTAGTAGTTTTTCATTTTAGTTTGTGTAGTTGCGAGTATGGTATTCTAGCGTTGCTAGGTTAGACTCTAGGTGATCCTTGGATCTGCCTCCCAGTTTTTTCAATCTCTTGTTGTACTTTCAGCTTTTGGCTGTTTCTCTTCATACTTTGTGCAGTTTTTATTTATATAATATCTCTATCGTTTTGAAAAAAAAAAACTATTATATGATAGAATAACTAATAGATTATGTTAAACTTAATTAATAAAAAGTTATATTATTAAGCTCAAAATGATTTGAACAGGAAATAAGTTGTCTGCGTTAATTGGATAGTCGACAATTTTATATATATATATATATATATATATATATTGTATAACTATAATTATAATCGTAATTGTAATTAAGACACTCGAATGGAATTAAATAATAACTATCAATCAAAATAAAGGACAATAAGAAATAAAATTATAGAAAATAGGAAAAATACACATACCAATTAATTCATTATTGTATAATGTCCATGAGGCTTGATCATGGAACTCTTATGCCACAAAAAAATGCACTTTTCCACTTGTTAAATTGATTCCAACTAGTGCTGTTCCTTTTGGGTTAATTGAGACATTAACTTGACATAAAGCAAA